CTTCTTCCTGCTTTCCCTTTCGCCTCCCTGCATTGTGCCTACATATGCAAATTAACTGCCATCTTGTTGGCAGTTAACTGCCATCTTAGTTGGCAGTTAATTTGCATATAGCCCTGATTAGCCAATGAAAAGGGTAGCATCATATGCCAATTACCATTTTTCTCTCTTATTAGTGTAGATAGTGACACACCTTTAGGTAGATTTTCCATTTAGTCATTTCTCTGAATTCAAAGAAGTGCCTCTCCAGGCCTGGTTGTCTGGGGGGTGGAGGAGTGCAAGTTCTGATTCTGGTTGCCCTGTCACTGTCTCCATCCCTTACAATGTGCACACACGTGTTGATAAATGGCAAACCAAACATTTCAGCAGAATATTGGCATTGGCCACCTCTCCGGCGAGAGTCAGCCAGGGCTCCTATTTACAAGAACTTCTCATTTCCACCCTTGCAGACAACATGGACTTCTCAGGCATGACGCTGACCCAGATCAAACGCCAGGAGATGGATTCCCAGGTAGGAACTCCATTTCTAAGGTTAGCCGGTCTCTACTGCATATGATGTCAACCCCAAATATTCCCATGATGCGAAGCCAGTGAGTGAGAGACTTGGGAGGAAATGAACTCAGATGTACCATTCAGCCCAAGAATTAATGTAAGTGATGCTGAAAGAAACAGTGGAGGTTTCCAGCACCTACAACCGGGCCTGGGTTATATGATGGGCGCTCAGCAAATATCTCTTGAAGTAATAAATAAAATAACTAAAATTAATGAGGCATAAGAAGAGCCAGAGCCAACCTCTCTTTTAGTGAGATTGTGCCTGTACAATAATAACTCTAAGTTGTACCAACCCCTCCAAGATGCCAGAACTATCATAATTGGTTCCTGCCTGAACTTCCAAGAAACCGGGATTGAAGGGTTATGACTAGATTGGAACACAATACAGATATGCCAGACATTAGAGTTGTTTTTAGATAGCGATTTATCAGAGGAACTTAAGTAAGTCCTACTCCCATTCAGGCATTTGGACTCTAAAGCACCATACATTTCTAGTAGAGGGTCCCGGGGAGAAGATAGATGGGACAGATGGCTGAATGAGAGGATGGGGAAATTAGAACAGAGACAAGGTTGGAATTGAGACCTGGGTAAGCTATCGAATAATACAGAAGAAAACTGGAAGATGGAGAAAAGGGATTAAGTCAAAATAAGACAATTCTCAGATCACTGCTCAAAAGAAAATTCACTTTCCCTACAGGTTAGGGTGCTAGAGCTAGAAAATGAACTGCAGAAGGAGCGTCAAAAACTGGGGGAGCTTCGAAAAAAGCACTACGAGCTTGCTGGTGTTGCTGAGGGCTGGGAAGAAGGTAAGCCTCTTGGGGGACCGGCACCAGCCTGCAGTGAAGGGGGTGCTGTGTAATGAGGGCTTTCCCCTAGACTATAACAGAATGAGGAGCCCATGGGTCAGTGACTTCCTCCTTCTCTGTACCCACAGAGCATGTTTTCAGTTGGAAACAATCTAAAAGCCCGAATTGTGAATTGAAAGCTTTTGTTGTCACCTTTCAAGACCTTAGCATTGACGGGCAGAGTGGCCACTCACCATTTCCTTCCAGGCCCAGTTAGCCTGGATTATCCCCCAGGAGTCTAGTCTCTGGCCAGCCTAGAGTTGAATAGTGAATGAATGAATAGTGATCAGTGAAGATCCAGCATAGAGGGCAAGTGAATTACTAGGTTCTGACTGTCTAGAGCAGCCGTGGGCAAACTATGGCCCGCGGGCCAGATCCGGCCCATTTGAAATGAATAAAACTATTGAAAAAAAAGACCATACCCTTTTATGTAATGATGTTTACTTTGAATTTATATTAGTTCACACAAACACTCCATCCATGCTTTTGTTCCGGCCCTCCGGTCCAGTTTAAGACCCCATTGTGGCACTCGAGTCAAAAAGTTTGCCCACCCCTGGTCTAGAGCCAGTGATGGGCAGCAATGGCCAAAGATAGGAAGGGTCAGGAGCTAGAAGTGGCGTGGACTGAATACTGTTCGGCCACCAGCCCAGACACTTCGTTGCTCAAACTCTGTGAGTGCTGCTTTTCTGCATGCCCAAGGTGGCCACTTGTTCACCACCGAGCTTGCCGATTCTTGTCAGACTTGGCTGGCTGTAGTATATCCCAGTCATTCCTGGACCCTTCACTTAGGGACGAGGTGGTTATGATGATGATGTATTTTAGAGCCCAACATGGTGGCAGTTTGGCTAACAATAGGTGCATGAAGGGCTGTGAAACATGAATGGCTGTTACTGTCTTTTAGAAACAGAAGCATCTCCGCCTGCACTGCAAGAAGTGGTAACCGAGAAGGAATAGAGCCGCACTGATGCCCCACACGTCACAGTGTAAATCTCTGTTGCCTGTTTATGTGTGTATGTTATTCCCCAGCCACAGGCTAACCCCTTGGAGTCGCAGTGGCAGCCACACCACTCCCATTGTCCGGTGCTGAGGACCTGCATGGCCTTCCAAAGGCTCCTCCACAGTGACACCCTTTGTGTTGGAACCCGTGACCTGTGTTCTTCCCCGCCTCCCTGGTGTCCAGAGAGGACGGGGCACGGGGCCACCCCCACAGAGAGGACCTCCCTCCCAGGCCCGCCTGCTGTTTTAGCCCCAAACAATCAGTGTCCTTGTCCGAGGGGCTGTGGTGGTTATGGCTGAGAGCCTGGAGAGGGAAGATCTTACGCTTTTTCTCTTCTGTTTTCTTCTCAGTCTTTCCGTTTCATCACTTGCACAAACTTGTGAGCATCAGAGGGCTGGTGGATTCCAAACCAGGACACGACCCTGAGTCTGTGCACAGAGTCAGAAGAACAGCAGGCGTGTCCTGGCTGAGAATGCCAAGGCAATGCTTCCCCTCTTTTGGCAGTTCCGTGGATTCCCACTGCTCCTCACGGTGGGTGGTTGGGTTTTGGGGGTTTCTGTTTTCAAGTTTCACTCATATAGCCAACTCTCCCAAAGGGAAGAGCTCTGAAGCTCTGAGCTCCTAGGAGCCCCTGACCACAGCAGTCAACAGCGATGGTGCTGCTCAGGCTTTACCTTGGTGCTCCCCATCAGCCTCCGTGCTTGGGTCCTGCTGAGTGTGGGACTCAAGGCCACTTCCCAAGGTCGGGTGGAGCTGCTGAGCCACAGCTTTCCTCCAGAGGCCGAAGTGGAGGGAGTGCCTTTCCCTCCTAAAGCTGGAGCCCAGTTGAAAGCCTCTGCCACCTTCATAAGTGAGAGGGCCACAGAAAGAGAGAAAGGAGGGTGCACACGGCCCAGGTCCTCAGAAGACACCTTCCTTGGGAATTCCTTGTGAGCAGGCTGGAAAACCTTATCGCATGCTCGAACGGAACTGGTGAGAAAGCCACACCTCTTTTTCCAGAATGAATTTTCCTTGGCACCTCCCTTCAGATCCAGGCAGGGCCCTAAGAGGGAGCTTGTGAGAGGTTTTCAATTCTTTTCTCCAAATATCTGCTTCCTTGGTATCCTCTTGAATCTGAAAAAGATAGTTCCATGTTCTACCTAATTGACAGACCCAGAAAATCAGGCAAACTTGCTCCCGGTAGGAAAGAACCCATTGCTTGGTTGGTACCTTTAATATTTATTACTAACCTCCGTTAAGCAGCAGCAGCAGCAGCAGCCAACAGAAAGACGCTTGGTGCAATCAGGATTTCAGGTGTGACTATGGCAAGGCTTGTATTGCTGCCCTATACATCAGTCTTCAAGAATCGGAAACAAGGCCAAGATGCCGTCCCCATCTGTAACCAGCGTGGATCACAAAGCAAGCTAGGTTCCTCAGAGCATCCAGGGCAGGGGGAAAAAAAAGGGGGACCGCTGGCTCTGACCCCTTCCCGACACATGTCCCGGGCCCTCAATGCCCTGTGGACAGGATGAGGGCACATTAATAGCCTCGTAGAGATGGGCAGCCAGATAGCACTTCTCCACCTCTAGCCGGACTCCAGCATTTAAGTGACCTTTTGATCTTGGACTGTGTCTTCCTTATCCATAGCAACTCCTAGGTAGTAGCCAACAAGCACTTCCAGGACCTGTCCCAAAGGAACATTGTAAGTGTGGCTACATGACAGGTTGTGAGACTCCTGTTTGATCACTGTGAATCAACCTCCCTCCTTCCTATATACCCCAGACTCCGTCTCTGTGCATTTCTAAGTAGGGCATCCAAAATACTGTCTCCCTTGAGCTCAAATAATGAGATTCAGATGTGTCATCTCCACACTGGGCTAAAAAGCGGGCTCAGCAGTAGAAATTGAGCGCCTGTATTTACTGCTTTTCCATCCAAGGCTCAGAAGGAGTGGTGTGTGGCGTCCCTGGCCCACTTGTGCCAATTAAGCCAATCAGTGTGTTCTCAATGTGGGTCAATATTTCCAAAGGTGGCTGGTCTTCATTTCCAGAATCTCGGCCAAACAGTTGTGCTCCAAATCACCAGTGGAGGGGAAAATCTAGCATATTGGACCAGATTAGGACTCTTTGAAAAACACTCCCTCTGAAAAGAAGCCACAGTAATTTTTTGTTGTTTTTAATCCTCATCTGAGGATATGTTAATTGATTTTAGAGAGAAGAAGAAGAGACAGAGAGAGAGAGAGAGAGAGAGAGAGAGAAACACTGGGCACCTCTCGTGTACACCTTGAACAGGAATCACACCCACCACCTTTCAGTGTATGCGACAGTGCTCCAACCAACAGCCACATTGGTCAGGGCGGGCACCACAGTGATTTTTAAAACTTCATGGGCTTAGCCAGTAATAAAACCATTAAGAACACACTTAAACAGGAGCACAGTCTCAATCAGTCTCACAGGAGGCAATACCTGTCAGATAATTACTTCATCCTTGCTCAAATTAGAAGCTAGTCCATTCTCCAGCCAAAATCAAATTGGCCTATCTCGCTACTTCTAAAAATGAGTGTGTGGTACTTGGTGTGAAATACCTGATGAAAACGGAAATCATATCCTAAGGCTAAAAATGAACCTCACAGCCTTTTAAATTAGTCACTGACCATCATTTAGTGACTGGAGTCTCATGGGTCAGTGTAAATGGGTCATGACAAGAGAGGACAACAGCAAAATAATGGCTTAGGACTGACAAGAGGTTAAAATGCGGCCGAATCTGTTATGCAATCTTGTAATACGGTGCTCTAATACCATTAGAATAAGTGTGTACATAACATAAACAAGGAAAAAGTGAAAAAGAACTATTTGTGGCGTTACTAGTATTTATATCTGAGCAAGGAGTTTAAATTGGACTATAATTGAGATTGATCCTCAGGATCCCACCTAAATATGAGTCCCCAGCCCTGTGGCTGGAAGAACCAAACATTGTCCAGGGCATCCTTTCTTGGAAGTGTTTGAGCTGCTGAGTCAGACACCAGGTCCCAGGGAGTGACAAGTGCATGTTGTTTAGTCAGGTTGGTAACACTTTGGCCTCGCTAAGAGGAGCTGGTTCTGAGTTTGTACCCAGGACTTACTCACTTCTTAGTCTAGAGCAGTGATTTTCAACCAGTGTGCATAATTTTAAAACATGCAATACCTATTTAGTCAGGGGCACTGACCTCTTTTCCCTTAGATTGTCAAATAAAAAAAATGAAAATAGCCATCCAGTGTGAATGCCCTGTCTTGAACCATAAATACGTAGGTCATATAATAGAGTTGCAACTTATTGGTCACGTTGCATAATAAGGTTGCATCCGATTGGTTAATTCTTCGCACCAGAAGTCCTTATATACAAGTAAGTATAGATACCTGATTTTTGAAAAATTAGGTAATTGCTATTAATTTTTTTAAAAAATATATTTTATTGATTTTTTACAGAGAGGAAGGGAGAGAGATAGAGAGTCAGAAACATCGATGAGAGAGAAACATCGATCAGCTGCCTCCTGCACATCTCCCACTCTGGATGTGCCCGCAACCCAGGTACATGCCCTTGACCGGAATCGAACCTGGGACCTTTCAGTCCGCAGGCCGACGCTCTATCCACTGAGCCAAACCGGTTTCGGCACTATTACTTTTTTAGTAAATCAAAATTATACCTTTTTTTGGTCAGATCAGCAAAAATTGTCTTTTTGGAGTGCTGCAGAATTTCAGTAGTTTATGTATGCCATGAGATGAGAAGGTTGAAAATCGCTGCTCCAGAGGGGTCCTCTGGCTCCACTTACCCTGGTCTTTAATAACTAAAGTTCTTGCTACCTTCTCCACCTTTCAAAGTCTCTGGAAATCCCTCCTGCCAACAAAAGCCTTTAATCCTGGCACTGGCCTTCCAATCAAATTGGCTTTGCCCGCTCTCTCTGCCATTCTCCATCCTCCAGAGACTGCACTGCCTGTAGCATAGAACACCACCACAGGCCTGCCTGCCACCAACACAGCAAACTGGCGAGCTGTCTGCTGTTCAAGTCCTTTGTCTCCCGGGTCCAGACCAAATACAGGATCAGCAAACTCACAGTGGTGGCCCAGCCTTTCTACCCCAGGAGCCAAAGCAACATGAAACAATTGCTTAGATACTAGTGGGTCCGATTCTGAGAGTAGATAATTTTCAGACGTGTCTTTCAAGTGACCCTCAACTACCTCAGGTTTGAAGGCCCTAAATTAAGCTGATTTTCCATAGGGACAAACTGAGGGGTTCAGGTAATGTTGGTGATAACACAGTTGTCTCGAACTTACAACTCTTTCACACTTAGCTTTGCGGGGATGGAGTTGGGATTGTTTTTCTTATCTGTGTTTAACCTTTCCCCCACTTTTCCATTAGAATAGTTCCTGTAAATGAATTTCATTTTTCACTGAGTGCCTACCTTCCCAGGGCAGGTAGCCACTGGCTTTTGTTCCCTTCCAATAATACTTTTATTATGGTATTAAGACCTTTCTTTGTATAATACATTGCATCTGTGTTTCCAATTTTTCAAATAAATATTTCAACCTGGCTGAAAAGTAGCATTGATAACTGACCAAAGTGGTGTTGGGGTCTGGGGTTCCAGTTAAAAGCCTACATTTATATCCTGGGGTTCATTTAATCCACTTAAGCTCTAGGAATATGTCCACATTTTCTGAAGCATGGAACTATTGCATTCCCTTTGTTGTTGTAGAGAAACTCTAGCTTGTACCTCTTAAACATCTGTCTTCTCTGTACACTCCTGTCTCTGAAAATGATCAAACAGTGCCAAAGTGGTCAGTACTATAATTTGTCTAGAAGACCAGGTCTTGCCTAAAACCCGGGGTCTTAGGCTATAGATACACCCTTCTTCGTTTTTAAGATGCATAAGTAAACTGCTGCCTTAACATTGGTGGGATGAATTCTGCTCAGGGACAGAAGCTGCCAATCCTAAGAGGATTCAGAGCCAGCCAGCCAGTTACCAGAGGATTTTCAGAGGGAGCTGACAGAATGGGGCTGGTTGCATGGTGACCTTTCCCTGGCAGGATTGTCTGCTACCTCATGCTTGCCAGTGTGTTAAGCCAAGGGGATCTACAGCGAGGGAGAGAGATGGGGAAGGCCTGGGGTTGGTAAGCAGGATAATTGCCCAAATGACACATCAGGTAAGTAGAGAATGAAGCCGTAATCAGAAGCTTTAGAGTAAGTAGGTCATAGAACCTGGGAAAGGAAGGAAAATAGTGTTGAAACTACGCAGTGGGGAAGATGATCTGGAGAGAGACAGAAGATGGGGAACATTGCCTATCATTGGCACTTCTCCCTGCAGGAGGATGCAAAGGTGAGCCTGCTCCATGTGAAGCACCCTGATAGACTGGGCACTTGGTCACAGTTCTCTTGCAGATCAAGTGTGAATCTGAGAGTCCAGGAAGCCGGGCAGAGGACTTCCTTGAGCACACAGGGCCCCATGCTTGGAAATATCAGGGGTGTGGGTCTCGCCTCAGCCAGCAGTGCCATCCAGGCAGATCCTGGCTCCTGTTCCAGATGTACTCATCCTTGACACCCCCTATACCTGCACATGGCCTTAGACCAGGTACCACAAGGACTCTGGTACTCATGCCTGAGTGGTCTTCCTGGGGTCCTGTGGCTTGCTCCCCAGTTCTAGGAAGGCAGCCTGGCTAGTTGGTTACTGGCTAGTATAAGGAATCTTGAAATCAGGTCACCAGAATGATGCCTAAAAGGGGGGCGGAGGGATAGTTAGGGATTATAGATGGGGACCAAATTTGGGGTCTAGGGATGGCCCTGCCAAAGTAAAAGGGAACAAATGGTTGAACTGGGCAAGTGGGAGGACAGCCTAGATGAAATCGAGGCCAGGGGCATCGAGCTGAAGCATACTCAGTACCACTGTGATTTGAGCCAGGAAGTTTTACTCCTGCTCACGATGGTTGTCCTCAGCCTCTGACACATTGCCCCAACGTAAGGGACAGATAGGCCTTTAAACACTTTTGAATGAATGAATGCTCGTTTCGAAATGCATTCTTCTTTTTACACACATTTTATGCATCCATTCATTGTGCAGAAATTATCAAGGGTGAAGGCTTTCTGTTCCCTGTCCTCAAAAGTTGCACTCACGTACTCAAACTGTGTGTTTTCAAGTGTCTATCAGGCTCTGGAAACAGTGGAAAGCAAGAACAGACATGGTTCCACGCTTCTGGAGCTTCTAGGCTATTGAAGGAAACAGGATAATCAATAATAAAAGCAAGTGTCTAACTATGATTGGAGTTAAGTACAAGAGAGGAGCACAACAGAGGGCTCTGCGCATAAAAGGAGGCGTTAGAGAAAAGCTTTCTGATAGTGATAGCTGGACTAAAATCAGAGTACGAAGAGGTGTTGACTAGGCTCTGTGATAGGGC